TCTTTGTGAGAAACTATCTACGAACGGAAAATCGCGTATCTAAATTCAATACGAAGGTCCATAGCAGGGAATATCAACATAATTACAAATAAGCGTCGTCTTGATTAATTGTGGCGTCATCAAATCCAACCCTAAGAAAATATAAAATAAAAAGAACGATCAAATGACCGAGAAAAAAATGAAAAACGTGTCACAAAGATAAAATTGTTCTTATTAAAAAATAAAAAAAATGAAATAAAGAGAAAAAAATCGGCAATTGGATTATTGAAACAAAGATAGAATTGTTCTTATTAAAAAATAAGGGTAAATTATAAATTTGGTAACTAAACTTTTTCTCTCTCTTGTTTCGCTCACTGTACTTTAAATCTTTTCAATTTTCTCATTGAACTTAATACATTAGAGTTTTTTTGTCACTCGGCCGTTAAATAGTTAATGGTGTTTAAATAGATTGTTATATAAATGTAAAACGACATTTTTTGGTGAAAATTTTATTTTTTTTAAAATGACGTTGTTTTTAGTACTGTTAACTATTTAACGATAGAATGACTAAAATGGGAGATAGAGTAAAGTTCAGTGATAAAAATTCTAATGTATTAAATTCAATGAGAACATTAAAAAAAATTTAAAGTTCAATGAGCAAAATAGGAGATATAATAAAATTTAGTGATGAAATTTGTAATTTACCCTTTGCTAATTAACCGTCCAGAGTTAAGGCTCCCCTCTTATGGATCAACAGCTAGCTGATATATATCATATATTTAAAATTCACCATATTTAATTATCGAGGAGCTTATATGGTATTAAATACTAATTGCCTCCATTTGGCTACGCTTTAAAAATATTATATTTTTTAATAGAAATAAGCATATAATTCCTGTTTACGTTTCTGCTTGAATGTCGTCAAATTTCAAAGGGTAAATTAAATACACATTGGATTTGCTTCAATTGGTAAGAAATAGTTTCTTTACGAGATTTATTCGTTACTTTTCCTTCTCGATTTAATCAATTTAATTTAAATAAGACGTTACAACTTTGCTCCAAATGAGTATTTAACCTTCAACCCATACTGAAAAAACACCAATGTTTAATTTATAATTACATAAATCCTTAAAATTAATAAAAATATTATCACACGTGGCAGTCATTAAGTGTGAATATTGTATAATTTTATACACGTAAATTTACTTTGAAAAATATTTTTGACCAGCCTCCTGGTATTATTTATGATTGAGGCTAGGGCTCACGCCATCCAAATACATACATACAACTATATTTTCATTGCACTTCTCAATCAACTCATCAGTAGAGTTTCTCTCCATAAAAAGATTGAATTGTGAATAGCAGCGCCATGGAGACGGGTCAAAACGGAAACCCAAGACCGCTATGGAACATCGTGGTGGTTTCAGCCATTGCCGCCGGGATTCAGTTCGGGTGGGCTCTGCAACTTTCTCTTCTAACCCCTTATGTTCAAACCCTCGGTGTCCCTCACGTTTGGGCTGCTTTCATTTGGCTCTGTGGTCCCATCTCTGGCCTCCTCGTTCAACCCATCGTGGGCTACAGCAGTGACAACTGCACCTCTCGTATCGGTCGCCGCCGACCTTTTATTGCCGCCGGAGCTTGTTTCGTCGCCGTCGCTGTTTTCTTCATCGTCTTCGCCAAAGACATAGGCCACCGAGCAGGCGATTCACTCGATAATCCAACTAAACCTAGAGCAGTGGCTATATTCGTTACTGGTTTTTGGATCCTCGATGTGGCTAACAACATGTTACAAGGTCCGTGCCGTGCTTTCCTTGCTGATCTTTCCGGAGACGATCATAAGAGAATGAGGATCGCCAATGGTTGGTTCTCATTCTTCATGGCCATCGGAAACGTTCTGGGCTACGCAGCCGGATCATTTTCTAACCTCCACAAACTCCTACCGTTCACAGAAACAACAGCTTGCGATGTATACTGCGCGAACCTCAAAACCTGTTTCCTCATCGACATTGTTTTCCTCATGTCGGTGACGATAACGGCCATCACAACTGTGAAAGAGACACCGTTAACGACAAAGGACGCTTTAGACGGAGACGAAGGAAAATCATCCGGGGCGTTCATCGGAGAGTTAGGGACGGCATTCAAGACGCTGAAAAAACCAATGTGGATATTACTCCTCGTGACTTGCCTCAACTGCATCGCGTGGTTCCCATTCCTGTTGTACGACACCGACTGGATGGGGGTTGAGGTATACGGAGGGAACGTGAAAGGAAGCGCGAATGAACAAAAACTGTACGACCAAGGAGTGCGTGCGGGTGCTTTGGGGCTGATGATAAACTCGATCGTGTTGGCTTTTACGTCGTTGGGGTTGGAGCCGGTTAGCCGGTTAATCGGCGGGGTTAAGAATTTGTGGGGGTTGGTCAACCTCATTTTGGCTGCTTGCTTGGCCGGGACGGTGGGGATTACCAAAGCGGCTGAGGGTTGGAGGCGTAAACTGGGACCACAAATCTTGACGGCTCCACCAACCCACGTCAAAGGCTCGGCTTTGGCTCTCTTCGGATTGCTGGGTATTCCATTGGCGGTTAGTTTCTTCTTTTTTCCTTTTACTTCACACTTATCGACAGCCCTTTCATTAATGCTTGATGTTACCGTCGAACAAAAAATAAAAATGTGTGATGCTACGTTTTGAAAACGCTTTTAAGTGTGATTTCTTTTTTGGGACCACGGATACACCAATAACATGAGACATGAAGTATTTTTATCAGGTCAGCTAATCTTATCCGGTTAGTGCTTAATTAATTATTAGTTTTTTACTCATTTATTTATTTTTAGTATTAGATTTAATATGTAAAGTAATCATAATAATTCTACGTATATATTTCAGGAAATTATTACTTTTTAATATTTATATTTTATACAAGGACATATGACAGCTTTTATGCCATCGATTAATTTTATGTGAAGTACTCGTGATAACTTTTTATCTACAGTCTTCATAATTTATGTTTTAAAATAAATAAAAGTGATGATGTTGGATGCAGGTAACATTTAGCATTCCATTCGCATTGGCATCCATATATTGTTCTGATGCAGGTGGCGGTCAAGGTACGTACTGTTTAATTCTTGGTGTAGTGGATATGCTTATGCTACATAAGGTTCCACTTTTATACATTAACTATAGTTACATATATTTTAATTTAAATCTCATTTAAATAGTGATTTTTATAGTATTTTATGAAATAATTGTAGATATGGTATATATATTATTGTAACTAATTTGGATGGTTATAGGGCTGTCCTTGGGAGTGCTAAACTTGTCAATAGTTATCCCCCAGGTAAAACTACAATTGCCTTTGCAGAATTGATCCCTTTTCCTTTTAGCCAAGACAAATCCAAGAAAAGAAGAATCCTTAATTGGATTAAGAATGTGATGATTGTAAAGTTTTAATCTTTTATTGGGATTTTCATAAATGACAGATGATAATATCGTTGGTGAGTGGACCCCTGGATGCAGCTTTTGGTGGCGGTAACTTCCGGCCTTTGTGTTGGGCTCTGTTGTGGCTGCCACCAGCGCACTGTTGGCAATCTTTGCGCTCCCCAATCCCAAAAACCAACTCTCCCTCAACTCTGGAACCGCTATGGCTGGACACCATTAGACTATATTAGATTGTAGAGTCTAAGTTTTTTATGTTACGGGGCCTCTCTTTTGTATCTCCCAGAATTTCTCAAGCACTGCTGTTGTAGGTCATGTGGTGTTAGCCTTGACTTCTAAATTTTAAGGCAATATTTCATTGTTTTATTCTACTTTTTTTTTGTTGGAAATGAAATTTTAATTATCTATTTTTATGTAAATAGAAGTTTTTTATTTATTAAAAGAAAAAATAAAAATTACAATGAAACCTTACAACCATAAACTAAACATAATGAGAACATATTTGCATAATAATTGACACAAAAAACTATCCACTTGAAATCCAAAATGCTAAAAACTAATGAACACAAGATAAATATAAACAAATATGATTATATCGATAAACAAACTACAAAAAGAGATCAAACTATTGAAAGACACCGACAATGATAATTAAAATCAAGCTTGCGGCCAAGGCAGATGAAAAGGAAGCTGCTGTATAAGAAGATATACAGGCATATGAGATTGAGAAAAAATAGCACTATAAGACATAATTTATTTTCTGGGGGTTGAATTGTTTGAACAAGCAGATGGTCCAAAATTCTAATAATGTGAAAAAATCATCTATCTTTTGATTTGATAGGAACTCCTTTGTACATTTCCACACGATCCTTCAACGCGTCTCGCCTGGGACGTGCTATCCTGTTATTAGGATCAAAAAGCAACACTTCCTCAAATGCTTTCAGTGCAGACTTATAGTCTTTTTCTTCTCATGCGTCTGCAAGATTGTTCCATGCAGTGACATATCCTGGTTGAAGCTTCACAGCAGTTTCAAATTGATTGATTCCTTTCTCGAGCTTCCCATCCCGGACGTAACTGACACCAAGAGCATTGTAAACCTGTGAAATGGTTAGCGAAATAGTTTAGAATCTTTACAAAGGCTCAATCAACATATATATATAACAAAAATCATCAACTGAGACGTTCACAATGCTCTTCCTTTAGAACACACGCTTAGTGCTTCATTCACAACTCAAGAGAAGAAGAATATTTCAGTAATGAATGATGATGTCATGTTAACAGCCGATTGCTTCTTCTTGTAAGAAATGGAAGATCCAAATGACAACACACCTGGGTGAGATCTTGATCATCTCCATCCCATTTTTCGATTGCTTGACGCAAAAATTTATTTGCAGCTGGGTAAAATTTCCTTCTCAGCATAACGGCACCTAGCTCAAAAAGCTCAGTTGCACTGGCATCTCCACTTCTGACTTGCTCCTGAAATCAAAATAATTATATTAAGGAATAATGTAAGCGGAAAGGTGCAGTCGAAATTCACTGCAACGGTAAGAACAAAGTGTTGAAAGTCTTCCCCATTTTGCTTTTCGTTTTGTTATGGTACTAGAATCAAGCATTGACACTTAGAAATGTAAAATAAACATTGCAGAGCAAGTTAATTACCATTCTTTTGCATGGGAAAACAAATTCTTACCTGCAATTCTTAGCGAAAGGTCAAGTTCTCTACTACAGTCTTGACGGATTACAAAGAAGGTTCCGACCCCAAGGAAACCTAGTAAAAGCAGATAAGATAGCTGGATTCCTAACTCAAACAACTCCCCGATCTCATAGACGGCATCTCCATTAGTAATTTCACTTGCATTTGCTGATTGGGCAGAAATTAACCACAATGCTTGACCAAAGAGGAAAGCAGGAACCATAACTAATGGCTTCTTCACATTCAAGTCATCAACCATAGCCAGATGGTTCTTCAAGGACTCTGCAACAAAAATGGTGACATCAATTATTTAATTCAAGCAATTATGGTGGAATCTTAGTATATATATTTTTATGTCTCTATTCCTCGACTGAAGTACTATTTTGGCCAAAAGCTTGAGTTAGCCATTAAAGTAAATAACAGGAAAGACAGTACCTTATGCGCTAAAAGTTAGTTTGTGCAACAGAATACCACTTAAGTTTACAAGGGAAATATATGTTACCACTAATTACACATTAATCGATGCGGTAAAGTCATTTTCAGCAAAAGTGTTTCAGATTCCAACTAGTAAAAAAAGTATATGTCCACAATCTAGAGGCCAGTGATTAATTCTTTGCCCTTCAAATCTTTGCATATATAATCGCAACTAAAAGTAATTTTGTAGCGTGAATTGCAGTATGTTGCTTAACATGCTTTGAAAATATAGCAACTAAAAGTAAGGCAGATTAAGAGAGTAAGAATACAAGTATAAAAGTGCATGACTAAAACTTGGTGCTGTTTTACCATCAAAACGTCTTGTATATTACATTATTTAACACACAACTCAAGCAAACTGCACAAGAATGAAATGCTCGGCTCGATGACATTTTTTGCTTGTGTACTATTTATAAGGAATATTAGTTAGGATAATATTAAGACAAAAATGATGTTCCATCAAATAACTACATAAGAGGACTGCATCAAAATAATGTTCAATAAGTGATTGCACACAACTGCTTGGTGGAAAACTCTAATTAAGCAATAAACATCATGTTAAGCCACTTTCGTTTTTACAAAATGCCTGAACTACCCAGACCCCTTCCCAACCATAAATCGAACAGTTTCGCATGCTCAAACCCACATCCTCCTGTATATTACAACAGCAACGAGTTTTTCCATTCAGCTAGGGCTCAATCAGCTTATGTTAAGCCATTTAAAATCCCATACGAGTGGCAAAATTGTGAAATTATGAATATTACAATCAAATACATGCAAGTTATGAGAATTTTGTCTTTGTGATCTGGAATTTCTTTTTCCTGAATTTTAGTCACCTGAATATTGAGCACTTAGTAGCTTTATCTAGGCATTGGATATGTTTTCTCACCCTAGCCTAGAAGGGCTTTGAAAGAAAAGAGGATAAAATGTAGGTTTTTGAAAATCGGGAGAGAATTTCTTATGCATATGGGAAATTTGAAAAAGATAGGTAGAGACTTGGCCGGAGCAAGTGAAGTTTATTCAGCTAGTATGCAATACAAATAAAAATTCAGAAAAATGAAGTTTTGTATTATCAGCTGGAAGAAATTGCAAAAATATATGGCTAAATGTTAGAAGGGAAGGATATTTACATCCTTTATGTATTATATAGGAGACAAGGACTAGGAGTACAAACATTCTCACTTTATGCCATGTAAGTCATCATGCACTGATGATAAGCAGCTAAACATCCTTAATACTAAAAAGTGCAACAAGAATGGGAAATTACCATCAAGTGTCGAGGTAAAAGATTTTGCTGCCATTCCCTTTTGAAACATCTGCCTTTATCCACAATCAATTGAAAAATGGAAAAGAAAAATTATAAGAAATCATGTCAGGGTTAGCAGAGAATCTTATATTAATCACTATTCACTAAAAAGCCTGATTAAAATTTTGAAAGTGCGCTTTTCTCATGTGGAAAACAAGTAATTTTTATATACAAAACAGAGTGACATGAGTAGTATATTAACAACAGAGTAGGCACGGATGGAAATGGAAGATGGGGCATTGTCCAAGCCACAGAAAATTACACTCCCTTTTTATGTGTTTATGCCATAGCATGATTTAGGCCTTCTATAAATGAAACTTACATGCAACCATTTAACTTTGTTTCTTTAGTTCCTAGTTTAGCTTATAATGCATATGAGTATTCATCTTACAATCACCGATATCACCAGGTTAAGGGCTAAAATTTCAAAACATGATGCTATCTGTACTCAAAAACAGCACAGAATCATTGATAACTTTGCAGCTAAAGTCTCTTTCTGTCTAGAATTCTCTTGAATGCATCTGACATCCCCCCTCCCCAGCCACTCCGCATTGGTGGAAGCTAAGTGCCATGAATGCACAGCTTCTGAGCATGACAGCATAAACTTTGAATCCTTCGACCAAATTTTGATCTTAAGGCAATAGATTAGAGAGCTTCATTTCGTGAAACTTCCAAGTTCAAAAATAGTCATTAAAAGATAAATTTCAAATCTGTTGACTTCAGCCCTTATTTGAACCATAAAGTATTAGAAACCAGAGCTATAATGAGGATAGAATCCAGATTGCTAATGATCGACAAAACTTGAACATTCTCTCTTGCAACTAAAATAGGCTCAACACTGGTCATCATTCCAGCTCACCAATATTACTCCTCCCAAAACTAATCATAAAGCTTACTCCTCATGATCAGTCAAGACATATTTTGACCAATATACATAGGCATAAGCACCAAGTAGAAATGATTGAAGTCAAAGTGGTGAGAAAAATGATAATTAAATTTTTTTAAGAATACAGCACACAGTTGAATAAACAAATAGGGTGAAATGAAGGGAAAGACCAAGTCGTAACAGAGCTCAGCATGTCGACTGACTAAATTAAACAAAGAATATGGAAAGACACTCTCCTACAATGAATATTGCAGCATTTCTTCACAAACAAGGATTTCATCTTAAAACAATTGAAGCTAAGAGAGTACAAAACATTACCTGTAGGTTGAGAAGTTTAGTGTCATTCACTCCACTGCCTGCAACTGAGATTTTCAGAGCTGGTTCACGATAGCACCTAACAATGGCCTGGACCAGGAAGCAGCATTATCCAATGTTCTTTACAAAGCTAAAAGAAACAGGTAAATCTTGTTTTTTGACCCTCTTTTAGCAAATTTGTAATATGTGTTGTCACCCATGATCAACATATACTCGGACATAGGTATGGCTGTATGGGAATATAATCCCCCAAGACTCTTCCAATACATGAAAAAAACTTAGAAAAACTTAAACATGCTTGTGCTGCATGCATAACCATATCTGACACTCACATTCGATTCAATCACACAATCCGTAACTAATATGGATAATTTCAAGTTTCATAAATTTTCTACTACTCTTTCTATTGTAGCCATTGTTATCACCTCATTTAATTCACAATATAACTTTTCCAATTGAAAGAAATCAAACATGGACATTAGCTAGATTACCTTGCTACTAATTATTTCCGTGAGAATTTTTTAACCAATAAAAGAAAGAACAAATTGATTTAGAAAACACCTAATCATGTTTTATATGACGAAATTTTACGTCAACCTGTCCTTTTAGTTCTTTTTTCCCTTTTACCTTTCTTAGTTTTCCATTACATAAACTTATTTTAGAAACTCCAAAACTATACAGTGAGCAATCAGAATTGGCATAAATCCAGGAGAGGCTAACGCAAGAAAGAGAGGGTGTTATAGTTGGCCGATTATTCAAGTGCTAGTGCTAGGCACAGGGATGGACCGAGGGGGAGAGGGCTACGGGTGAAGTCGCATCCCTGGAAATTTCAAATCACCTAATAGTTTAGGTATTTTCTTGTATTTTCTACTGATAATCTATTTTCGCAATATGAATTTATATTCTGCACACTTAATTTCTAATACAAGTTCCTAAGTTGGTACCCTTAGCAGAACTCATGCGTTCCGTTCATCCTAAGAAGCTTGGCATGAGCCAAGAACCCAATTTGAATATTTACTTGCTCATGGCATGCCAAATAACCATTGCTTCCCCTAAAGGTTAAAAGTAACTAAAAATAGTGACCCCCTTAACCCCAAAAATGGTTTCAAAGACCTCACTTTGCAATTATATTCCCATATCTATTCCTTCCTCCTACATGTACTACTCCGAGTTATCTTGAAAAGTTGAGATGATTAAAGTAAAAACTTGGCATAAAGAATTATGACAACAAATGGTATTAAGAAATAGTAAAGGGTAGTGGTTTTTGACCTGGGAAAATAGGTTTTTGCGGGTGAAGTTGAGAAACCCAGATGTGAGGAACGGTAATAATGAGGAAGCTTCTGCTGGTTACTGAGAAGCACGCATGTTGCCCATGATTTAAAGGCCGAGCTGAGATTGTAGTCTGAAGAAGCATTTTTCTTTTCTAATTTTTTATCTTCAAACTTCAAAGTTCAAACATCAAAGGACCTCGCTCTTTGAATCAGCAGCGGACTATGTTAGTGGTTTGAAGATAAAGCTTACCCATCTCCCCATGCCACGGTTATTAATAATGTCAATTATATTTTGATACCTTAACTTAGTTTAATGGTTCAATTGGTACATATATTTTTTCAATTAGTTATATAAAATTGACTTTCTTATTCAATGGTATCTACATTTGTATAATGATTAAGTTTGTCTTCTTAATTATCTGAATGTAGCCTTTTGATCAAATTAAATCATTTAGATTTAAATTTGTTTTGATCAGCTGAATTTAAACAAATTTAAAATTTAAACTTTTTAGAATATATATTTATTTTAAATATAATCACTAATTGGACTAACAATCATAAGCATTAAATTAAATTAGAAAGTTAAAGTCAAGTATTAATTTAAATTAAAAATAATTTTAAATATATAATTAGATAAAATAATAATAAATACCAACTAAATAAAAAATAATATAAAAATATTAAATTTAAATTAGAAAGTTAAAGTCAAGTATTAATTTAAATTAAAAATAATTAAAATATAATTAGATAAAATAATAATAAATACCAACTAAATAAAAAATAATATAAAAATATTAAATTGAACAAATAAATTTAAGTAGTAAATTAAAATCATAAGTTATAATTGGGGAAAAAAAACCCCAAAATTATATTTACCGTTGAGAAAAGGAAATGAGAAGACCGCGTTTGGGCAGGCTTCTAAGTTAGGGTTTGGAATTTGGGCAGGGGGGCCTTATGGATTAGAAACCTTTGGGGCATTCACTTTCTACTTTTTTTTATTCTTTTTTAATTTCATTTTTAGTTTTTTTTGTTGCCGAAGAAAATTATTTAGAATAATCATTTTAGCCTAAAATATTCGTTAAATATAGTTTTGATTTTCATATTTTTTAATTCAAGTGAATTATATTAATTAAAACCACAAAACACATAAAAATTCAAACGTTAAAAAGAATAAACAAGACCAAAATACATACATATGCATTAATGCATGAGCAATATACAGTTGCGTTAACGTGACAAATGAAAACAAGAAGAAAAAATTTAAAGTAAAAGTGAAACTTTCTGCATACACCCTAAAGCATGCAGGAAGACTCTTATCATAACAAAACCATGCTTTCTCTACTACAATATTATCTACTTTTAGCACTGCAATTATATTTTGTAAATCTGATCAAGGATTTCAAACTTAATTCCAATATATATATATATATAATATCAAATTGAGACAAGAGTTCTAGCATTCTGTATCAGCAAGGTAGCACAAAATCAGTTGATGAACTTTGTGCTTCTTCCACTATGATTCAGGGAAGCAACCCAGCAGACGGTGTTGTACTTGAGCTTCTAGTTCATCGTTTTGGGATATTGCAGTACTTTGATATGGATAAGATGTTGAATCGGTCAGCTGAGAGTTGAGCAAGTTGTCAAAGTTCTTCCAGTCCATTATTTGTATTTGATTGCTCTTTCTTCGTCGCACTGGAAAACTTCTTTTTCTGCTAAACTTGTAATGGGGGGACTATCCATTTGCGATAGTTCAATGACTTGTTGTTGGCTGTCCAAAAAATTGTTGTTATCGGAACCATAGGATTCATAAAAACTTGATCCTTGATTCCTGTGATGGCCCCATGCTTCAAAGCCTTGCCTTTGATTACTCGGCTTTCTAAATGCCCGGCACACCACCCATCCTTCTTCCTGCAAACCGGAATAAACTCATATATATCAGTAAACGTCTTCATTATGCATCAAAGAGGTGGGAAAAAAATTAAACTTGCCTGGGGCGGTCCAAGTTCATAAGTTTGGAGTCGATACTCATGCATGATCCAATCGGTTTTCCTGCCGTTAGGTGCACGACCCTTGTAGAAAACCAGGGTCTTTCTCATCCCTATATTTTGTTCTTGAAATCACAGATTTATCCCTCCCGTTGCCTTCCAAAATCCTGCCGCAGTGGCTCTATTGGTCCTTGTTCCTGTTGGATACTTCCTATCTTATAACTGAAGAAGTACCACTCGCTTTGTTCTTCGTTTCCTATATACATCTTTCTGCACAACACCAAACCCAAACCACTTGTATTAGTGTGAACATATATCTGCTTTGAAAATAGCCCTTTGACCTTATGTCATGCCTTGGTAATGTATATATCATTACATATTACTTTAGTTTATGACTAAGAGAAAAAATTTCAAACCCTAGCTAGGATAGGACCAATAGATCTCAGAAACATCACTGGTTTATTCAGTAAATTTACCTTGGATATCCCATGGCTCCATCTTGTATAGATCAATCTCGACAATAACATTTAGATCAATTCTGAGTGAATTGATCTTTCTTTGGAGATAATATCCTACAAGTTCTTCCTCTGTAGGATGAAATCTAAAGCCTGGTGGCACGAATGATTCCAATTCCATAATGGATCTACTCCTGGAAAACATGAACAAATATATATATATATTCGTGGTCCAGAAAACACAGGGTTGAAGTTAGTTTTTGGCGTAAGGCTAAATACTAGGGCAAGTTAGAAGGAAGACATGAATTGCCAATGCTTTTTCTACAAAGGATAACGGAAGTAAACTAACATTTTTTGCCTATAAATGTATTGTCATAATGTATGCAAGCTCATTCCTCAACTCTTGAGTCGCAAATAGTAGCTATTTTCTTTTATTATATAGTGGGTGATCAATGATTGAATATTCAACTTTAGGGGACCCAAAGCTGGTTGGCCCCCTTCATGCTTTTCTCTCTCAATCTCATAATAAAAAAAGAAAAGAGAGAATGTCATGCTATATGGAATCCACTAGATAAACAAAAAGAATAGGGTTTTAAGTTTTAAGATTGATGTTTGGTCGAGTTGCATGAGCTCAGACAGGGGCAAATAAAAGCATAGATTAATTGCCGAAAAGCTTGACTTTGTTTGCTGGCACAAACAAGCATGGTGTTTCTTTGAGTGCAGTGCACTCCGTGTCCGTGGTGGTGTTAGTGGATATATATATGCTTTTACACCCCACCAACTACCTCCCTAGATATAGCCGGCCTCTTCATTTAAAGCCTTTTTTTAAACCAGTTTATTACTTTATAATGGATAACTAATAGAAAAAAATTCATCTTCTTCAGTTTATTCTAATTTAGATCTACTTACCACATTGATCTTGCTCGATCTATAATGCAGATATAGAATCAAACCATACCAAGGCAAATCCATATATTTATGCATGACAAACCCTAACAAAAGAACCCTAATTCCAGTACTGCAGATTGCAGAAGGGAGCTCCTACATTTGATAAACATTAAACACGTATACTCACAAGAAAATGCTGGGATCGTTGAATATACACTTGCCGGACGATAGGAATGAGAGAATTTATAAGGCAGTGTTGTTGCAAAGGGAGAGAGAGTTGTTATATATGTGGAAAAGAAGAAGATTAATTTCAAGAGAAGTGGTGAAATGTTTAGAGATGTAAAGACAAAGAGTGAGGGTATAAATATATATATTAGCAGCAAGGAAAGATGTTATTGATTGCGCGTGGAGTGGGGGTGGCAGATCAGATGCATAGTTCGTTTGGACGGCGTGACACCAATTTTCACGCACGCCACCCCCCACCCTTCTCCTTCCCACAGCATTTTGTCAAATTTCTTGTCCTAAAACCTAATAAATTATAAATTATGTTGAAATGTTTTAACCATATAGAATGAATTAAGCTTTATCTACGCATCGGTCCGCTTCT